CCTCATCAGTACACAGACAGGAGATCTCACAGGAAAATAGAGGTGCAGAGAGAGGTGATTGCTAACAGCCAGACTTTAACAAGGAATTGGCCAGTAATCTCAGTACTGTAGCATGAAGAGAATGAAGAGTAGTTGAATCCACCGAGTTAATATCAAACTAATATTTTCCTCTTGATTAATATCTTATGACATTTTCCTTCACATCAAATCTGTTAATCCTGGTGTCTAGACCATACAATAGTGGTTCTAATTACTCTTCCCTACCTATATTGTTGTCAAGTTATTCTAAAGCAGTGTTCTGAAAGAACTGTGTATCTTCAAGTTATTCTCTATCTAAGCAAAACAGGCAAGCATTGATCCTAAACATATGCAGTTCATGAGTGTGTGGGGCTCTTGATCACTGAGTTTCTTCCATTGTTGAATCTAACACCCTAAATCTTATAGTAGTTTGGGACACTATGTAATAGGGTACAAAAAGAGAGCCATGTTCTTCCTATTCCCCACTTTCTCCATATTGCCCAAAACAAAACATACCCACATTGAAGGTAATTTCAATTGAATTTGCTCTCAAATAATGGGCGGTACACCTATTACACTGCAAGTGTTTAATCTGCACTGGACCTAAGTATACTAGTTTCAGATTCAGGTTGTGCCCTTTTAATTCACTATCCAGAAGCCCATTCTTACACATACAGCAGACAGAACTCTGGAAAAACACAAGATTCTTTTTGCTCACATGTGTAGTACTCACAAAATCCTAATCAGATTTCTTCAGATCACAACCTACACTTAAATTCCATTGATTTCTGGGAGAATAAAGCACACAGGCATGTGCTTCTAAGAATTTGTAGCTAACCTCATATTAGGCATTGTTTGTTGATATGGCTCACAAGGGCACATACGTTATTACTTACAATACAGCCCTAGTAATTTAGTACTGTCTTAATAACTCCATTAGTATTTAAATTATATACTGTTATATTACTAATCTACAAGTGGGGAAAAAGATAAAGGTAACTTAAAAATAAAAGCAACAATATAGTACAAAACTTCAAAATGTGAATATTATAGCCTGTAATGTAACTGCAAAATGTGAATATTATAGCCTGACAGAAAAATAGTACCAATTACTGGTCACAAGCACTGTAGGCAACAGGGAGCTCTGGGACTAATCATTCTGTTCCAGAAGATAAGTAGGACTATTGCCAAGTAAAAGCCTTATCCCATTTATAGGCAGGTGGTGGTCTTTTCCAACCCGAAAGAACTGGATAAAACATAAGGGTGGTATGGGAGGAGGTTCAATTTGATTCAATTGAACTTAAACTGATTTCTTCAATATTTATCATTATTATAATTACAATTATTGCATTTATACCCCCCATTTCCTTCAAGGAACTCAAGATGGCACACATGGTTCTTCCCTTCTCCATTTCATCCTGAAAACAACCCTGTGAGGTAGGCTCTTTTGCAGAGAGTTTTATTTGTACTGACTGGTGGTCTACTTTATAGCTAAGGACATAGGTGTGACCACAGAGGTTTTATCTTTACTTTATCTATGGTTTTAACATGGTCAATAATAGTGTGTTACTGACCTTGCAGCAACCTTTTAGCTTTTTCTAGAAAACGGAAATGCGAACAAAAAGTACCATCAAAGAAAACATCCTGATAATAAGGCTTTAATACTCTGGGTCAGCAATATGCTAATTTCTCAGTTACATACAAATTAACTTCTACAGCTGACATAAAAAGTATTGAACATTAATAATTTACCAAGTAAGATGTTTTGGTTTTGTCACTGTATTCCCAGAACTGCTAAGGGAAAGAAAATGTGACTGCATTTCTCTCCTTTTACTGAAGGAATATTGTCTCCATAAGTATGTTTGACTTCTTCTGAACCTTTAATAATGCAACTTCTAATTAATGCTGATCGATGAAAAGGGGGGGTTAAGACTTGCTCACTGGAAAGAGCAATAAGGTTAATAGGAAATTTGGTCACTGTCTCAAATTGCAAGAATGGACCAGAGACAGGCAGCTTTACTTTATCCTACTACTAATACGACCCCACATCTAATTATTTTCCATACTAAAATGTTATAAGATGATTTTTTTTTTTAAATTGGAGGATAGAATTTAGTTTTATGAGCTTATGGTCTGGGAAGTTGTGAAAAACTGTAGTGCCATGCAGCATTATGGTACCTCCTTAAAGTAGCATGGAAAAAGGGAGAAGTTAAACAACAATCATGCTTAATTCCTTGATTTGGCATCATAAATCAGTTTGAAACCAGGGTTTCCAACTTTTACACTGTACTAGGGACTCTAGCAGGCATTAGACCACTAGCATGTGATAATGTGCCAGGAAGAGCTTCACCTTTAATTCCTGCATATAAAGCTGCTGTTAAAAGGCAGGCTATTTCCCCTCCCCTGGGCAGTGGACATATTCAAATGCAATCTAATAAGTGAAATGAAAGATACATAATTTATTACAATTACATATTAAAATGAAAAGTTATTGAATGTGCCAAATGCCTATCAGCCAAACCAGTAGCTTTTCTCTCTTTGAGGACACTGCCAGCCAAACTGCCAGCTCTGCTACCATCCTCTTTCTCTCTCCATCTTCTTCTCCTTTCCCACCCTGTTCACTCTGTTTTTTCCTTCTCCTTTTCCCCCACAAAGGCAGCAAGGGAAAGGGATCCTTTTAGCATATAAATCACTCAGGCTTAAAGACATGTCTGTGATAAAATCATCTTCATTTTGCCAGAATTTCTCTGCGTCCTCTGAAGCAGATACTACTGTAGTGGGATGCGGGTGGCACTGCGGTCTAAGCCACCGAGCCTCTTGGGCTTGCCCATCGTAAGGGATGAGCTGTTAGGATATTTCCGTTCCACCTTAAAAGGGAGCAGGCTATGAGTCACAGAGTCTGCGTATTTCCTGTTCACAGGATGTTTATGTTTTCTGTTGCTTTCGTTTTCTCTCTCTGTGTCGTAGACACTAAAGCAGTCAGTCATGTTTTTCTGTGTTCTGATCAACGCTGAATAAACTTGTAAATAATGCTCTCCTGACTGCAACTTTTGGCTGTGCATTATCTGCTGATAGAGTGTGCATGAGCTCTGGAATGTGGCAAGATATTTTCTAGAAACTCATGTCGCTGCGTGCCTACGGGAGGTCGATGGATCGTCTGGCAGACGGCTTGGGGGCCTTGATGGACTTTATCTCCCTGGCAGTATCCCAACATGAGCAACTGGGTGAGCGCCCATTGCTTTGTTCCAGCTCCTACCAATCTAGCAGTTTGAAAGCATACCAGCGCGAGTAGATAAGTAGGTACTGCTGCAGCGAGAAGGTAAATGGTGTTTCCGTGCACTCTGACTTCTGTCACAGTGTTCCATTGCTCCAGAAGCGGTTTAGTCATGCTGGCCACATGCATTGGAAAGCTGTCTGCAGACAAACGGCAGCTTCCTCAGCCTGAAAGAGGAGATGAGTGCCGCACCCCATAGTTGAATTCAACTGGACTTAACCATTCAGGGGTCCTTTACCTTACCTTTACTACTGGAGCAGGCTCTTTCAATACTTCTCTAAGCAGCACACTCAACTGAATGGGTGTGTTTTTGGGGGCGGGGAATTAAGTTGCAACAACCACCATGCCAGGTGCTGATGCTATGCTTGTTTCCTGCAGTGCAGTACTGCCATCCCCATCATCTGACACTGTCTCTGTGAGTCACCAGGGCAGAGTGGGAGTGGGAAAACCTGGGCTTTGAATCCAAACCCTGTAATCTTCAAGTATCAATGCTACTCCATGTTTTTCACTCCTCAACTGTTATGTTCATAAGCAAAAAGTGATATAAACTCATTCCCCCCCCCAAAAAAAAAAAAAGCTCAAATTTCAGGGAAGATGCCTGGAATATCCTGCGGAATGTGGGCTCCCATGACACCAGTGCATTGCTATTTATCTAACTCTGGTTTTGACCTTTCAGGTGGCTGTGACCAAGTGCCTCTTTCCAAATGAGATGTCTGAAAATTGTTCTTCACTGAAATGTTCATAGCCCCTTTCCCAGCACTGACCTAACAGAAATGTTACGGTTTGGTTCTATTTCCTTGCATCATGATGCACTGTGCATTACTCTCAGTCACAGAGAGTTTGCAAGTAAATGTAAGATTAAGCATAAGCATCAGCTCTCATCAACTCTAAGCACAAGGCAAAAAATATTTGTGGCTCCTTTCCAAGCAGCAAATTAGACAGTAATCAGCAGGGTTATACCAAACAAGGCCTGATGCTTTTATCGACTGTATCACTATTTTATGCACAACCTAGTGTTCAGTCAATAGTTGTCATTGGAGGGCAGCCACTTACTCACTGCTCCTGTCAGTATTTCTTATCTAATTACAGATGAGCTCCAGGTGAAGAAACTTCATCTCATTAACACAGTCTATCTCAACTGCAACTTTCACACAGATAAGCCTATCCATATTATGCTTTTGCAGCTGCCAAGGATTGTTGCTCCAGAGAATCTTGTTCTTTTCCTCTGCTCTACCACCTAATGTTTTAGTGCAGTGTGGATATAAGTTGTATAGCATCACAAAGTAAATCATAGATTTAATTAAGAAGCATATTTATGCAGACTTATTAGGAAAACCAATAGCTTGTTACGTTAACATATTAAAATGTGCAAAGCTACTTCACCACAACAAAACATTCAGGTAGCTTCTAATCACTGCTGCTTAAAGCCGTATCTGTGATAAAACTAATAAATTTGGAAAGATTCAGAGAAGTAAGGCAAGTAAATAAAAAGACACTCTTTTTAAAAAGTATATTTAGAATGTACTGGAATATTAAAGTAAAAGATTATGGGTATCCTTTTTCAGGATTATGTGTAATTTTATAATGTTATGCATATCACTGTTTATATACAAAGGCAGTTTCTGGTTCTGTGTTTCTGGTTTCTTATCTTCTGGTCTTCTTTTCAAAGTTTCTGAAATTCTTTAACTCTTATACAGTGGTACCTCTGGTTACGAATGCTTCTGGTTACAAGTTCCACTAACCCGGAAGTAGCTGCTCCTGGTTGTGAACTTTGCCCCAGGATGCAAATGGAAATTGCACACTGGAGGCGCGCACACAGTGGGAGGCCCCATTAGCGAAAGTGCGCCTCAGTATAAGAACGGTTTCAGCTGAAGAACAGACCTCCGGAATGAATTAAGTTCGTAACCAGAGGTACCACTGTACTCGATAAGTAGCTCTCAGTGCCTGCCTATCTTTTAATATGCACAATAGGGCCTTCTCTTCTCCTCTTGCCACTACTGATAACTAAGCCTCATCCCAGGCCTAGCAACCTGTCCTGGCTTATTATACTACCAATAATATAAATTTCTCTTCCTTTCAGTCTATACTAGGATCATTTCTAACACATAACTTCCGTCACTGTTAATATTTCTTGGTATCACTACATAAGTGATATGTAGCAGATCCAGACTGCCAAAGAAAGGAGGAGCTGCAATCTGAAGTAGCTACATTGAAATATGAGATGGCGAGCACACAAACATATTTTGGATAGGGAAGAATTATACATCACATGCATGTTTCTTTCTTATTGACACTCTGGAGGGATCAATTATTTTTGGTACTTCAAGGTAAAGTTTTAATCATGAAATACTACTTCATTCAGAGCTCTCCTCCAAGAGAAGAAAGACATAATAATGTAGGATGCATAATGTAGTATGCATAATGTATAATTATAGAAATTAGTGGCTTGCCTTGCCCAGGAATGCAAGTAACTGATCACTTTTCTAAAAAAGCATTTCCAGACTTGGAAGTGGCCAAGACAAGGACCATGCAACTGCCTTCAATTGTCCTGCCACAAAATTGCTCTTGTAATTTTGGATTTACCGGTAACTTAGTTTTTCAAAAGGATTATTACATTTAAAATACTGTCAGTGGCTATTTACAAAATGCAGTCCATCCATCCCTAAATACATGCACAACTTCAATACACTTTGGCCACCACTAATATGAAAACTGTGATAATTAAAAGCAAGTAAGATGATTTAACTACAAGGAGCTGACTTATATTTTTTCAATTCATTAACCCATGCTGCACATCAGTTCCCCAAAGTTTCAAGTGTAGGTCTTTCTCAACTTATACATTTAAACATTTCATCTGCCATGGACCTATGATTGTCTTATGTTGTGGCCTGTGCCACAGGTAAATTTCTGTGAGCTACAATCCAGTTCCACTGGACCAAGTTCAGTGCCTTTGTGTTATATACAGAAAGGAAGTGCATGGGTTTATGCAAATATGAGTTACCTTCTCTCCTCATTCTTTTCCAATCTTACCACATATCTTCTTTGACCACTGCCAGGCCACAAAATAGCTTTTACATGCTCCTTATCTGCTGCCTCTGGCAACACTCTCTTTGTCAAACAGTCACATTGATTCAACAGCTTCACTAGCTGGTGTAACACTGACCTAGTATGGTAGTTCTTGCCCTTAATCCTACACACTTCTTTGTTGACATAGCAGATTAAACAGTTCATGAGTAGCAAAAGGAAGGAAGGAAGGAACTATGAGGTAGTCAATGTGTCATCTATCTATAAAAGAGCTGTATATAACAACCCATTCTATGTACAGAAATATTTCCAATTAAGTTACTGGGACATAGATGCTCTGTGATAGGAAAATCAATTATTTTATTCAACTTCTTTATCTGAATATTTTTCAATACATTAACCCACGTTCAATTTATCTATTGTTGTTGGCATCTGTCTGTCTCAAGAGACAATGGAATGTGCCTCCAGGGGTGAAGTAAAAATAATGTGTTAGCTGCACTGAAGTGACTACAGTGTGCAAGCCTGGGCAGGGTGTATGGAGCTCCTGAGCTGCCCAGACAATTAATACACCCCCTTCTTGGCAACACTGATATGGTCCAAAGGAAAGAGGGCAATACATTTGGCACCAGCTTGGTTGCAGGAATTGCTGGAAGGAGGTGTGTAAGAGGCTATCCAACTACCTTAGGGATTCCACTCCAAATTTGTGTAGGGTTTACTACTTAGCCTTTTCTTCTCTTGAAGATATCCCTCAGGGTAACGGAGGCTTGGGAAGTTTTTTTTTTAAGATTTAATGTTTTACTGTGTTTTTATATATGCTGGAAGCTGCCTAGAGTGGCTAGGGCAACCCAGTCAGTTGGGGTGTTGTTGTTGTTGTTGTTGTTGTTGTTGTTGTTGTTGTTGTTGTTGTTATGTTCACGGCCCCATCTGCCCCTCGCTTCTTTACATATTACGTGCAGAAACTGCCTTTTTGACCATTGGATTCTCTATTGGTCTCATCCACTCATTCTGCCAGAGCCTGCCTTTGCATGCAGTGTAATTCCCTAACTCACCAAGGGTTTATGACCCATCAGCTACCCTCACCTGATTCAGTGGACCAGTCGAAGCCATTTCCTGGGGTGTGGCTACTGTCACATGCTGACAGCTTCTAGGAGTCACAGGTGATAGCTGAGTGCAGGGTGGGGATCAAAGGTGGACAAACTATCCCAGAATGAGCACAATGTCCGCCCCCCCCACCTTAGGTACTGCCCTTCCCCTAACACCTTATACACCCCTCAATGACTCACTGCAAATATAACCACCAGTTTTCACTTTCACTGACCAGATATTTAATTCATTGAAAATTCATGTAATTTACAGTGTAAAATATGCTATAAAATTGTGTCAGCTCCCAATCATTTTAATTCTATTTTTTAAAAAAGCTTTTAGTATCAATAAGTCAATAAGAATATAAGATCAACTCTAGTAGGGCTTCCATACAACCTATTTTAAGAGTCAACATTTATCATAAACTGGAACCATTTTTCCAAGAAATCATCTGTAAAAATTCCAGAAATAAATCACTCATGCATAGATTACAGACAAGATTATAAGCAATTCCCACACTTTGTCAAACCAACCTTTAATAGGTGGTACCAGGAGGTATTTTCATTGTGAAGCAATTGAAATTCTTAATGGACGAACTGGGGGCCTTTTTCAAAGGTTAGTGTGATTGTGTCTTTCTTTTAGAGATAAAATCCAATTATGCACTTCTAAGGTAATAGAAGAAATAATGAAAACTACATAAAAATTTTTGAGCTGAACTTATATAGAAAAGTTAAACAATCTCTGAGGCTTATTACAATTTTTTTAACAATCCTGGAGTCTTAGTATAATTTAGAATTATTTAATAGGTTTGAGACAAAAAGGAAATTAAAGCAAAATTACTACCGAAATTATTGTTATAGGAATAGTTGAACAAGGGAGGTACTTCCAGAATTACTGTACTGTTTAAGCTCTTCTGATATGTCTTTAATTTAGAAACGTGCATGAAGTTTCAGGAAAAAATGAAGTTTTCTTCCTCCTCCATATCCAAAAACCCAGAACCAATCTAATGAGGACCAAATATAGTCAGTAGTCACAGAATGCACTGAATGCACATTGGGTGTTTGCATGAGAGAGAGAAAACAGGTGGGGGTGGGGTGTAATGAAGTATCCTAGAAGAGGAATATTGAACATGAGCACTCAACTTTCTAAGGTTCTAAATTCAATTCATACATTATCACAGAAGCTTATAAAAAAATTCCAAGTGGCTTTCTCAAACAATCATGGGAACATTTAAATATGGGAACAGAACAGGTAAATCAGTTATGTCAGCTCTTTATGGCTCTCACACCACTCTCTGTATTGGTAGGACAATTATTAGGCTGTGAGGAACCACAACAATGGCTACATCTATAGTTTCTGAATGAAGTGTTCACTGAAGTGGCTCACACACCATTTCCAGTAACGTGAATTTCCTTTGTTTCCAAATAAAGTTATTCAGATCCACCCACAAGGAAAACCAATTAAGAAAGGATTATGATGAAATTAACTCGAAGATCAGCTTTACTTAAAAAGATAGCTTTCTAGCAAACACTGCACAGAACACCAAATGTCCTAGCAACAATGCTACTGGGAAAAATGATCACTTCCTATCTGAAGAGTTCTGTGTAGATTAAACAGAACTATGTATGCCAAACTTGTCAACAACATTAAGAGCAATTAAAAAGGCAGATACATTTGCTAGGATACAACTCTAGACCTTTGTAACCTGTACTTCAGTATGTATGGGGAGGCAATTGTATGGGTGAGCAGAGCTGCTCCAGGTTGGAGAGCAGGTGTACTGAGGGCAGCAAGGAAAGCTGGTGCCTCCAATCAGACTAATGTCCAACTGTGTAGCTAAATAAATAAATGTGCATGATGGGAGCCAATAACAGAGCTCTACAGTCACCAGTAAGAAAGGTTTTGTCTCTGTTCTTAGCTCCACTTCTCTCAAGAAGTGTCTTTCCCAGGGCATAAATAACAAACTTGGGAAGCTAATTTGGCTTAGCCATGTACTGAAGAAGTCCCATGACTATGGGAGATAGGTGAATGTGTCTCTTGATGCAATTTTCTTTTGCTGGAAGCAGATGTGTCACAATTTGGACCAAGATTGCAGAAACTCTCCAACCTGACAGCTATCTTTTCAAACAAGAAAATTACATTCATGCACCTCCCAATTAAAGCCCAATTCCATCAGAATATTTTTTATCCATTAGTGTAGCATTATACCCAAATGAAAGTGTTACATGAATATTTCAAGAAAGATCCATGTTCAGGAAACTCGAGTGCCCTCACCATGAATCTTTACTGCAAAACCTATTAGATTTTTCATCCCAATTAGATATTTTTCATGAGTATACAAGGGAGTCAGTTCTGAAAACAATGCCATGGCCTGTGCTCCAAAATTTTCCAGAAGCAATAATTTATTTGAGTTTGCTTTTGGTGACTGAGATTAAGCTTTGGTTGGGGTGTGTGTGTGTGTGTGTGTGTGTGTGTGTGTGTATGTGTGTATAACCCAATTCTGAGTTCCAGAATTGGGCAGGTTAAAAAGTTAAATAAATATTATGAAGCCTAATAAATGACATACGTTGTTCAATATCTGCCTGTGAATGCCTTGAACTATCACACTAATTAGTCTGAAGAAAACCTGTAGCAATTTGTGGAAGAATAATTTCAGATTCAGTTAGACCTTGTTATTCCACTTAATTGCCTCAAGGCTTCATGGAACATTTGGCAAATTCAGAACTGAAAGAATAATAATGTTTGCTTTGATCAGTTTGAAACTGCAAATGCCAGTCTCCACCCCTTCTTCTATGCAACTGTAGAAAACAGATTAGAAAAAAAGAGTCTAGCTTATTTTTTCATAACTGATTAGTCATTCTTTACAATGACCCCATATGGAGAATATTTATGGACTTAGTTGATTCAGTTTTAAACCAGCATGGATCAAGATCGAGAATACATATGACTAAAAAGAGACAATATACATGATTTATAAAGATTTTTATTCTTCAGCATTGCTTTTCTATAAACCATTTCTGAAGTTTTTGGATTCTTCCAAATAGAAACCTTCAGAATGGAACAGAAAATCTACAGAACTCCATTGAAACAAACTCTCTGTCTCTCTTAATTACACTCACACCCTGATACAGCTTTACAAATTCAACTGCATTCCAATCACTAATTCTAAGCTACCATCATATATCTTCACTCTTAATAAATGTAAAACATTATTAATAGAGACATATTTTAAAATCTGAAAATGTGCTTTAGACACAGTGCAATTATATGTATGCTTCCTTGTGATCTTTGCTGTTCTCTTTTTTATCCACTGTGAAAAGCTCCTGTCATGACAAACAGGCAGTGGTGGCTGGACTCCTGCACATATTCATGTGTACACACAATCCAATCTGCAATTGCATTTAATTAATTATTTTTTCTTAAATTGCATTTAATTGATTATTATTTTTCTTTTAAGTGAATTTAAAAGAAGAATTGGCAAAAAAGACTGTAAGCTCCATTGGACTTCCAATATCACCATGAGAGTAAAAGGGCTTATATACCCTTCTTTCTGCTGAAGAGTATTCCCTTCCATTTTCCAAATAAAAAGCCATCCCTTCACATTTTCCAAACTTATGGCAGTGGAGACAGCTCCAGGAATCTGTGGCACGGATAGCGGTTTAGCTTCAGGCCCTGGAGGCTGGCAAAAGCATGGTCAGCAACACTGTACTCCAGACAGTAACTACTAGGGATCCATGGGGTCCTTTCACACTTAGCTTCTTTTTCCACTTGCAGAAGAAACATACAGGGATACACAATTTGGTCCATCTTATCTTCATCAGCTGCTTAGGTTATATATACAATTTTAAAAGGAGGGGAGAGAAATGGGGGGGAAAACAATTAAAAATGAAAATGACAAAATAGTAAATCAACTTTTGGGAAATTAAAGGGGAAGCAGAAAAAAAGATTGTATGCATGTCTGTGAAATTGATCCCTTTCAAATCGACCAAGACCCAGTAATAGTTTCGTTCCAATCTGAAATGGACTCTGAGCAGACTCCAGATAGCCAGGACCTGAACTCTTCCATTACTAGATTTTCTTCCATCATTATATGAAGTACAGTGGTGCCCCGCAAGACGAATGCCTCGCAAGACGAAAAACTCGCTAGACAAAAGGGTTTTTCGTTTTTTGAGCTGCTTCGCAAGACGATTTTCCCTATGGGCTTGCTTTGCAAGACGGAAACGTCTTGCAAGTTTGTTTCCTTTTTCTTAACACCGTTAATACAGTTGCGACTTGACTTCGAGGAGCAACTCATAGAATGCGGTGTGGTAGCCTTTTTAGAGGTTTTTAAAGACTTTGGTGATTTTTGAAGCTTTTCCAAAACTTTCCCGACACCATGCTTCGCAAGACGAAAAAAATCGCAAGACGACAAAACTCGCGGAACGAATTAATTTCATCTTGCGAGGCACCACTGTAAACTAAAGAGGATAGGACTTTGTTGCAGAAGCATCAGTGACTACCAGGCCCATGCAGAGGGTGGGGGCAACCAAGTACGCTTGCCTTGAGCCTCAGAGAGGTAAGCTGGCCAGGAGGACCCGCCAGTGCCTGGCTGCTTCTTTGTTTGAGTTTGTAACTTTATTCTAACAAGACTCCTGTCCTGGGTCTCTCATACAAGCTCTGCACAGGCCTGGTGGCTACTGTTGCACTAGTATTTGGATGGGTCCCAGAAGAGATGTACGCAAACAAGTTGCCACTTCTTGCAGGTATTGGGTTTTGTTTGTGTAATCATATGAGCATTTGCCTTAGCAGTTCATTACAAACCATTAGTCAGAGTTTAACTGCATACTGTCATGTTAACACATGATCTAATAATACTTTTCTCATATGGTGAGCCTTGGTTATCAAATAATTATTTACTTGAGTCAATCTGTTATCACAAATCTTTATCTTGCCTTGTCAGTCTAACAGACAGGTTGAAAGTCACTTGGGAACCTGCTGACGTGAACTCACTTTCAATGATTACTGTACAAAACTGGGGAGATGAGTATGGCTGTAAGTAGAGGTGCTTAGGTCCATGGGATGATTATAGTATGCTTAAAGGGTGAAGCTGCAAGGATCAAGAAAAAAACTTAATTATAAGTATTTGTTATGCCTAAACCTATTCATATATTCTAAACATTAACATTTGTTGCATTTGATAAGAATGTGTTATGGTGTTGTTTAGTTTAGTTCAGGACAGTGCAGATTCCCACTATCTTAGTGGGCATACAAGATCTCAGATGTTCTATTGCCAAATTAAAAAGCATCTTGCTGAAGACTTTCTGTGAATATGGCACATTATGTTAAATTAAGTATAACAAGAGAGTCCTGTAACCAACTGACAGGAAGTTATAGCAAGCATTAGGAGTAGGTAAAGCTACATTGATTAAGGAGGTTCAGCAAAACTGAGACATTACCCAGTTTCTCACTAAGCGCCAAGGTGAGAAAATGATACCAATAGGCCTCAATGTCTTAGTGGTATCAGTAGTCAGTAGATGAATCTTCTCCCTCTACCCATCTGTAGTTGCATGGTTATAAATCACTAACACTGATTGGCAAGTGGTGTTCACTGTTCCATGCTAGTAATTCAAAAGATTGTTAACAAGCATACTGCTTTCATATAACACTGAGAAAATCACAAATATAGAAGGAAAGCAACAAACAGGCTTTGAAACAAACAGCTAAGAATGAATGCAGAAATATACAGGTTACCAATGATCAACACAGCTGCCTGGAGACACAAATGTGTAACTTGCAGACAGCTTTGAGCAAGGCCATGCTTTCTAGGATTCGGACAAAGCAATATGAAACTTAAGGAATCTCTTCATTATTCAAGAACTCACCTATATAAAAGCCATAGTTCCATACCCATTCCCATGAAACTGTACAGCAGCAGTGTACTGTGTGGGGGAAAGAGAACTCAGTGTGTGTTTTGGTCACTGCTACTTTGAGTGTTCTTCCAACCTGCTTTGGGCATGCAGTTCCCAACCACTACCCCCTAAGGAATTTTGGCCCTCAGTGAATTGGGAGAGAATCTCTATCCCTGATGTATCAGCTGGCATCCATCTGTCATGGGAGGCAATGAAAGAATGCGTCTTTGGGGGTAAAGTCAAACCACTGGAGAGTTACAGTGCCTGCTGGAGCTTTAGAGACTGATATAATAGAGATATGTTTTATTGTAGGTGGGGCACATGAAGGCATTATGGGACTTCTTCTCTTTGTGCTTTTCTCAGTGTTCATCTTGTGGAACTTAGGTGAGCATCCTATCTCGTTGAGCAGTGTGAACAGGCCTTCATTAGGTCTATGAAGGTGATGTACGTGTCTCTGCTCTTGGCCTTTCTCCTGCAGCTAGAGCAGTGAAAAAATAATGTTGACCTCAGAGCACTAAAGCCACATTGTGACTCAGGATAGACCCTGTCAGCATGTAACTGTAATCTGCTGAGAACTACATAGGCAAAGGCTTTCCCCACAGTACTCAGCAGGGCGATTCTATGATAGTTGTTACAATCATGGTGGTCGCCTTTGTTCTTACAGAGTATCACAGTGCTTGGGTTGTGCATGTCTTGTGTCTGGACTGCTTTCTGCCACAGCCTCTTCCTGCTCACTAAACCCTGTTATCTCTTCATCTTCCAACACCTTCTCCTCCCAGTCTGTTCACTATTCTCCCTGTGACCACTTATTGTAGTACCAGTACCAACACCAATCCCTTGGCTCTGAGACTTCTTCCCTGGGGGTTCCCTTGGGCTTCCTTAGCTGGTGCCTCCCACCACCATTGCTCTTCATCCAGCCAGCCCATTACAATTTGATCCTTTTTACTTGTTTATTTCACGGGGGAATCAGTGCCACCTCAGAAGCTATGATGCTCATGATGACCAGGGCAGAAGACTGGGGGGGGGGGGCAGTAATTATGATCATAATTGCCACACCAGCTGCAGGCTGATGCAGCACAGAGATATGGAGCAGGCTTTGTTCCAACTCCCTGCCCGCTTCCCTGAAATGCCCCATTTCAAGGGCTTACACTGGTTACCACGGTGGGAATACAGCAAGCACTAGTTTCTGACTGCTCTTGGGGCGGAACAGTGTCCACCCCCACTAGCAGAAGCCTGATGAAATGAGTCTTTCACAATATCCTAATCCTCTACAACATAGATCAGAAATTAGAATTGCTCTATTAAACTCTTAATTAAATATGCTTTTTTTCTTACCCAAAAATTGTATAAAGTTGGCAAAAATTATTATAGTGGATGGATCTGGAAATCAATAATATATGTTCTAATATTAAAGTGTTCTAATGAAATTTCTGCAACTCACAATGCAAATAATTATTCACACTTAAGACAGAAAATACACTTAATATTTTTATAAGGCACCAGAATCAGTATTTTTATAAATGTGAACCTCTAGATTACATTTAAAGGTAGTGATTATATTCTATAAATAATCAACAGTTTGCAGACCAGCATCACTCCAAATGTTTGAAAACTATGAAGACATATTATAAAAACCTGCAAATTCCTAACAGCCATTATTCCTGGCTCAAATCTACTTTGTCAGTTCATTTTGTCCTGCTACTCAATCTCTCTACTCAATTCAGAGTTCATCAAACACAGCTACTCCTCTGATTAATGGATAATTTATTATTTGCCTTGCAAATGTTTATCTGCCAGGACTAGAGTAAATTTACTTCCATACAGCTGATATGTATGATGGCCACTCTTTCACTTCTGAAGGATTGGTCAATTGATGGTCAGGTCCCTAAGGAGCTGTGCCCTGGCCTTAGATTTCTGACACAGTCCTCTGAAAGGAAAGACATCTATTTTTAATTAGCACAGCATAAAATCAATTAGCTTGTAGCTTAAAAGAGGAAATTAATAATCACTTTTGTTTGGCATTTTCATGAGACCATCAGAAATAACCTTCAGTGTTAATTACCCATATTGGTATGCTTCTGACCACCTTGAATGCCATGGTTTCAAAGTAATACTAACTTGAAAATGCAGATTGAAAGTATTTCCCCTAAATCATGAAACATTTAAAAATGCTGCCAAGGAAAGAATTCCCAGGTGAAGTAGTGATACAGGAAAACAAAATGGAATTTTCAAGAATAGAAAAGGAATTGGGAAGTGATGGAATTCTTTAATGCCAGGTAGGTGAGAGATAGCCAACTTTGTTATCACTACCACAGCAGAGAATTGTTCCCAATGAACCATTTGCTGTAAGATTATTTTTCAGTGGACTGGTTGCATCTTTAGGATGTGTATGTGTTAGAGAGAGAGAGAGTGAGAGTTTTCAGAATTTTAATTTTGGGTGGAGGGCCTAGAACTACATCTGTTTCCCACTGATATCAATACGGTTTTAGCATTCCACAAGTCTGACTTCAACTGACTGAGGCTCCATTCACAGAGTTGCATAAATTACTACCCGGAAGTAATCCCCATTGAGCTCAGAGGACTTACTTCTGGAATGACATTAATAGGGGCTGTGCTGATGATAACTTGTTTTTCTTTATATAAAATGTATTCTATTTTTTTCTGTATTAACACCAAAGCTCAAAGATGAATACACATTTTGCTTTTGGAAAAAAGTTAACAATAAGACCGTATTTTTAAAGCCATCAGAAATGGTAGTTTAAAGCAGTAATAAAAACAGCTATACAGTATGGCATATTTAGAGTCTCCAGTTCCCTTCAACGGAGACTCCTTCTAATAGAGACTTACATCTCAGCTCACATATAAGCACCTTTTTAAAAGTATTGTAACTGTTCAGGATGGCTAACAGAAGTTAAAAGTTCATTTGATTGAGGATATGGGATTTTAAATTATCTTCATATGATAGTGTCTTAGTATTAGCTGTTTCCCTTCTTTCCATTTTGTTACATGCACTGAACATAAACATTTCAAATAAATACTCCAAGCTTTGTTGTATGCCATGAAATTACTATGCCCTGAGTTTTGGTTTCATTAAAAGGGTAAAAAAAACAACACATATTAACAATTCTTCCCAAGTTTTTCAAGCCAGTATGTTTCTTAAGGATAATTTCTAAACAAGATGGAGCACACATGGTGCCATGTTTGCACATCTCAGTTGTTCTAGGGCAGGAAACTCTGGTCTTGTTATTCAGACATCATATATGTAACTAGTCTTGACAACTGCTGATTATATCTTTTTTAAAGCACTACTGCCTTTTTGTGTTTGCCAGTTATCCTCTGGTGTATATGCCAATGCAGACAATGTCCCATCACCGTAATTGTCACTCAGCTGTCTGTCAGTGATGAGGAGAAAAGGGTGACAGCAGCCTTGACATCCCACCAATCATCCCTCTGGAAAATTGATATCGTCC